TATGGATCCTCGCTCTCGGTGTTGAGTCTTCGGTGCTTCTTAGTGGCCCCACAACGAATTCTCTGCGAAGTTGAGCCTACCCTGGCCACAGGTCAGCCAAAACACAGGTCCACTGGGGGCACCGCCGTGGAGGCCTTCAACCACACGTCCAGCTGGTGTGCTGGCAGGTTCCGGAACAGCAAGGCTGGTCAGGCCACTCCACGAACGAATTAAGGGGAACGCCCTGGACAGGAGCCTCGTGTGATATCACAAATCACTCTCCTGTCCTCAATACCCCAGTGGATAAACGTCTCCAGCAGTCGGTCCCGGGAACGACGATCCTTTCAACTGCCACTCCACTGGCAGGGTAACACACCACAGTGTTCTTCCGGGGGACGACTTCGCAACTGCTGCAGCAAAGCTCAAGGTTCGGAGACGGCTGCCTCGGGTAGACTGACTCAACTCCCATCACAGCAGTCCCAGGTCGACTCTGTAAGCAGACACATCATCAATAACTGGGACACTAAAACACCTCACTTACAGGCTCAGACACAAACGCCCGACACATCCACTTCATAGATGGCGCTGGTGTCTGAGCACCACCTCACCAGAGGTCAGCAGCGGCTGTGTTGTGAGCTGCACAGGACTGGAAACTGGCCCTTGTGGCCGGTATTCGCCGTCCTCGCCAGGTGTCGTCGTTCGTTTGGAGGGGGTTTCGGGAGCTGACCCACAGATGGCGCGGTTGTCACTGCTCCGGGCTCGGACGCTGGATCCGGGTTCGTAACAGTATTTTTTTTTACACGTGTAAGAACAATCATTAAGTACTACAAACAACGAAAGTCATACAAGGAATATAAAATTTCAACAAATTTAAATGTCTAGCTTCAGGCCAAGAGAAGACAGACGCTTGACCTTTGGTGGTCAAGCGTCTCTCAATGTTTTTCCTGAGCTTGGGAGGCAAGCGGCTCTTCCTAACCCTGATGGAGCCTCCCCTAGTAGCCAATTAGATTACGAGAACGTAATGATGTAGTCCGTATCAGAATCAGTGGTAATCGAAAAATTTTCCTCCTCTAGTCTAAATGTATGGCAACTGTGTAAATTACATAGCAAATCAGAGCGTCACGATGATCTGCTAAACTCCCTTACTCGGGGCATTAGCCAAATATCCGATATCAAAGATATCTAAGCATACTTAAGATATATTGGCCCATGACGCATGCTTATGTTTGTTACTATACCTACCTCCAGTGCAGGTCAAAATTCACATCTCCACATTCCCCAATAGCTACCAGTGATGTAGCCTCACCATGTACTCAATACACCATCTTCTGACCCTGCACCAGTCATCGCCAGGAGGCGATGACCACTGTGCGTACTATCCTCAGCCTACCTCACTTTCACGCCAACTTTGTGAATGTGACCACAACCCATGGTCGTCTGTACATGTTACGGCCCTACTGGGGCGTAACCGGGTTCTTTTCTGGTGTTATTAGAATTTGGGAATCCGGCCCCAAGTTAGTAGAGGCTTTCAAGGGATGTGTTCCGTAACGCAAGTTAAAATAAAGGGGGAGGGATACAAATGTTCTGGTTTATATATATATATTCTCACCACCACCATATAAATAAATAACAATCACACTGGGTTTATAACTACACAAAAATATACAGAGTTGTCTTCCTCTAAAGACACAGGATGCTCCACGGTGCGCACTTTGAGTAGCCCTGGTTCCTTCCTCCGTGGCCCACGATGAATCCTCTTGGCTTCTATCGGCGAATCTACCCTGGCCATAAGCCAGCCAAATCACAGTCCCACTGGGTGCTCTGTCGTGGAGGCCTTCAACCACAATCCAGCCTGTAGCTGGCAGGTTCCAATCAGCTCCGTTGAGTAGGCCACTCCACGCCCGATACTAGGGTTGCGAGCCCTAGGCAGGAGCCTCGTGTGATCTCGCTGATCACTCTCCTCTCTAAATACCACAGTAACTAGTCACTTCCACCAGCCAGCCCCGGATAAGGCGATTCCTGATACTGCCACGTCACAGGCAGGCTAACACTCTCAACAGTGTTCGTCCAGGGGTAACTCACAGCTTCTTCAGAGCAAACTCGTGGAGAGACTTTGGCTGCCTTGGGTAGACTGATCCATCGTCCAATACAGCAGTCCCAGGTCGACTCTGTAATCAGACACGTCATTAGCACTGGAACTAGGGAACCTCACTTACAGGCTTAGTCACAAACGTCCACCTATCCACTCCATAGATAGCGTTGCTGTCTAAGCGCCACCTCACCAGAGGTCAGCAGCGGCTATGTTATGGGCTGATTAAGACGGGAATCCAGCCCCTGTGGCCGGTATATCCCGTCCTCACTAGATGGCGTTGTCCATTTGGAGGGGGTTTCGGGAGCGGACTCACAGATGGCGTTGCCGTAACTGCTCCGTGCTACGACGCTGGACTCGGGTCCGTAACAGTACAGCACCACCTCTCTATTGTTATCTGTATGTTTCGAACATTTGAATCAAGCTTCAATGAAGCTTTTCTCTACTCTGATCCAGCCACAGTATTGCCTTCACACTGAATGTTTGTTATAAACACATTGATAGTATAATAATTAATGACGCGATAAGATGAGAAACAGTCACTCCTATTGTGACCAAATGAGAGTGATATTTTTTTATTTTAACTTTTTTTCTCCCATATCAGCAGCAGTTCATAAAAGTATCAGCAGTCATATTTTTAGAAACTTCTGATTTGGAGCTACAATTCCCAGACTTAATACTCTAGCTAAATGTTCTTTGATAGTCCAAGTATTTCTGCACCTTCATTGATGAATACAAATTTGAGTGACAACAAGGAACATAAAAATGTATATTAATGAAGTGAGGATGATTCTTGTGGCCGTTTCCACGATTTGAACCACCGTTGATTTAATTATTTTGTTAAATGAGAAACATTCGAGCATAAATAACCCATCTTCAGTAACCCTACCAAAGCTTATGAGCCTTCCTCCAAACAAAAACCCAAAAGTGATTCCATGTTGTCGCTAAACCCCCTGTCAATGAATGAAACAACCCGTCCTCGACTCAAGTCCATTACATCCAGCGGTCACCCCCACAGACGCATTCATAAATTTTAACTTGCTGTTCATTCAAAACAAGAATTTTCTCAAATATAAATTAATATTATAATATATTAGCATATTGTGCATATATAGGCATAGGTTAGGTTAGGTTAGGTGTTTAGGTTCTGTTGGCGATCATTTGTATTTGTAGTACGTGGGTAAAGCATTTATAGCGTTGTGGTTCGAACAAAACTCGTCAGTGAAGCACTTGATCCGGAAGTGTTCGAACGAAATCAGTTGTGAGTCGTGTGTAAACCGCTTTTCATTCATAAACAGGGGGTTTGGCGGATGGATGGAATCACTTTTGGATCTTTGTTTGGAGGACGGGCTGGGCTGTTTATAGCGTTGTGGTTCGAACAAAACTCGTCAGTGAAGCACTTGTTCTGGAAGTGTTCGAACGAAATCAGTTGTGAGTCGTGTGTAAACCACTTTTCATTCATAAACAGGGGGTTTGGCGGGTGGATGGAATCACTTTTGGATCTTTGTTTGGAGGACGGGCTGGAATGAAAAATGGTTTCGTTCGAATACTTCTGGAACAAGTGCTTCAGTGACGAATTTTGTTCGAACCACAACGCAATAAATACTTCACCCACGTACTACAAATACAAATGATCGCCAACAGAACCTAAACATCTAACCTAATCTAACTTATGCCTATATATGCACAATTTTCTAATATATTTTAATATTAATTTATATTTGAGAAAATTCCTGTTTCGAAGGAATAGGATGTACAAATTTATGAATGCGTCTGTGGGGTCGACCGTTGGATGTAATGGACTTGAGTCGAGGACGGATTGAACAGCCCGTCCTCCAAACAAAGATCCAAAAGTGATTCCATGCACCCGCTGAACCCCTTGTTTATGAATGAAAAGCGGTTTACACACGACTCACAACTGTTGACATTCGAACATATCCGGAACAAGTGCTTCACTGACGAATTTTGTTCGAATCACAACACTATAAATGCTTCACCCACGTACTACAAATACAAATAATCGCCAACAGAACCTAAACACCTAACCTAATCTAACTTATGCCTATATATGCACAATTTTCTAATATATTTTAATATTAATTTATATTTGAGAAAATTCCCGTTTCGAAGGAATAGGATGTACAAATTTATGAATGCGTCTGTGGGGTCGACCGTTAGATGTAATGGACTTGAGTCGAGGACGGGTTGGCATGGAATCACTTCTGGAACTTTGTTTGGAGGACGGGCTGCGTGCGGGTTGCACCCTGCGCTTGGCGAGCGATTTGCGCTGGGTTCGTATCCTGGCCGGTGAGGAGTGACTAGGCGCCAAACCTTGACTGTACTCCTCTGTTCATTCAACAATGATTGGGTACCTGGTTGTTAACCAATTGGCGGGTCGTATTCCAGGCAAGCTAGCGGGCGAGGCTTACCTTGAACTATGGGAAGGCAAAGCTCTGATAACAGGAGACCGCAGTCGTCTCTTCTTGTACTCACCCGTTAAAAAATTCAATAATAGAGTGCTTTAGTTATAAAGGAATGTCAGCAATTATGAAGAACTGATTGAGGGATACTTGTTAGAGAGGGTGTTAAGTGGTGCACCAGGAGGGTGGGAGAGTTTGGGCACTCACTCTCACTGCAAGGGAAGAGAAGTCAGGCAGGGACGATGAGTCAGGCAGGGACGATGAGTCAGGCAGGGACGAGGAGTCAGGCAGGGAAGAGGAGTCAGACAGGGACGAGGTGTCAGCCAATAATGATGAGTCAGGCAGGGACGATGAGTCAGGCAGGGACAATGAATCAGGCAGGGACGAGGAGTCAGGCAGGGACGAGGTGTTAGGCAATAACGATGAGTCAGGCAGGGACGATGAGTCAGGCAGGGACCATGAGTCAGGCAGGGACGAGGTGTTAGGCAATAACGATGAGTCAGGCAGGGACGATGAGTCAGGCAGGGGCAATGAATCAGGCAGGGACGATGAGTCAGGCAGAAACGTGGAGTCAGGCAGGGGACGAAGAGTCAGGCAGAGACGAGGAGTCAGGCAGAGACGAGGAGTCAGGCAGGGATGAGGTGTCAGGCAGGAATGAGGAGTCAGGCAGGGACGAGGAGTCAAGGAGGGACGATGAGTCAGGCAGAAACGAGGAGTCAGGCAGGGACGATGAGTCAGGCAGGGACGATGAGTCAGGCAGGGACGATGAGTCAGGCATGGAGGAGGAGTCAGGGAGGGACGATGAGTCAGGCAGGGACGAGGAGTCAGGCAGGGACGAGGAGACGGTGAATGAGGAACATTACTCACTTGTCATGCCTGCTGGGCACAGCCAAGCGAGTATTGCTCACATTCCGAAACAATTTATTGAATAAAGTAATTATGGAATTACAAAAGTATAAAGGTTGAGTCCCTTAGAACTATAATTACCAGGACCCCCCCTTACCATAATTATCCGCCCCCCTCCTCATCACAACCTGGACTCCCTATCACCATAACTACCCAGGACACTTGGCATCATAACTAGATAGACCCCGCTGGTACTATAATTAAGTGTAATTGCATCCATCTGTTGCTATTTCGTAAATCGTTCATCAGTTCTCTGATTATCACTATACGTCACTGTTTTCTAAGGTGGAGTCTTTAGGAAACACACACACACACACACACACACACACACACACACACACACACACACACACACACACACACACGCACACGCACACACACACACACACACACACACACACACACGCACACACGCACACACACACACACACACACACGCACACACACACACACACACACACACACAACCTCTAAATATCACATAAATTTCTTACATAAAGTTCAAATTACTAAAGTTCAACTTAAGTAAATGTTAGTTGACGAAACTCGGCGGAGGAAATAGGAGGCCAGACACTGGATACAGAATGGGATGGTGTTATGTTGATGTGCATATAATTCATCTAGTATATCGCTGGACAATTTTCGTTGAAGGACTACTTTGGTCGTCCATTCACTAGTAGTTATATCAACCTTAAGACTGAATGTTCTTAGTAGTGACTCAAACTCCATGCTGAAGGATTGTTATGAGTCAGCAGTCTGATCAGGTTGAGGTAAGTCTAGTAATTGTAGTACTAAATGTATGACAGTTTTCTCATTGCCAACATTATTCATATTGGCTAGTTGGTTAAGCCTTGTGGGGCTTGTACTTGGGCTGCTCATAATGCTGAACAAGTACTGATGGTAGCCTAGGGTAAAATTCTGCACTCACTAGGCTGTAATCCTACCTCTATTAGAGGTTAGCACTTAAACTTAATAAACAATATATATATATACAATCATACACACTAATGATTTGAGTGATAAAACAGTGTCATGGAAGTACCTTTAGGTTAGCTCTTCTATATCACCCTAGGATGGTATTGACACCAATTAATCACTCAAAGGTGTAATGATCATAAGTAAATTATTATATATACACAACTCAACTCGAGTTGATAAAATTACACCCAAAATAGGGTCTGCACCATTCATTAATGGTGCTAGGTTGTTCAATGTAGTACAACTAGACTATGGTAATTATGGGACTAGGATGAACAATAAATAGCTCAACTAGTCAATGGTAATATCCTACCCTGTTGTGGGTTGGCAATTGGTAAATCTTATATTGAGAACACTGGTGCAATATATTAAATAATTCTCTATTTGGAGAAATAATATACACAATTATTGATGATAGCCTCTTAATTGCCTCTATGAAACTTCTAATATTATCAAGAAGTATTAAATATTATTAGTGACCTCGCGAAATAAACTCACCACTCAAGATTATCCACAAAATTCGTGGATAATCTCTCGCGAAATTTAACACCACGAAATCCGTGAACAATCTCCCGAGGACACAGCCACTAATTTGGCTGGCTTCAATAGAAGCACTGTCACGGAATAAGAACCCACCAAATCTGTGGGTGACCCTGAAACTGTTGATGAGGCTGAACTGAACTGAGGGGGGCTCCTGAGCTCGCTCGAGGCAACGCTGCCGTCTTTGACTGGATTTGTATAAATCACACTGCACTAGTATATTTAATAAATCCACTGGTTAACTGGTTCATCCGGTACTAAGATGACCAAATAATCTGTCATCCGACTCGAAGATGACCAATAATGTGGTTTCAAAGGACCAAATAATCCGGTTCCGAAGGTCCAAAATAATGTGGGTACCGACTTGTGAGATTTATATTTATTTAATTTAATGAATTTATATAGAATTTATATTTACATTAATTTATATATTTCGATAGCAATTTGTATGATGTTAAGTGGACTGTATTTCTGCAATAATTTCACAAATCAATCCACTACACATTAGGGGGGGGTTTATATTGAATTTATATATATATATATATATATATATATATATATATATATATATATATATATATATATATATATATATGCAGCCAATCAAACTACAGTATTAAACTACATATTAGTATACATTGAAGAGGTTCCTTATCTTATTGTACAGCCAGCTTAGTCCACCAGATATAACTAGGAAGTAGACACCAAATTATCCTCTTTGAGGTAGCTTCCATCACCCAGTAACTGGTACACAAAGTTTGCTTCCTCTTCTTGACCTGTCAAAAGGGCGCTAGCTAAAAGCCAGAATCCTAATATGTGACAGCTATATCAGAGAAAACACTGTACAATGAATCAAAAAGTCCAAGGTTTAATTACCTTTTTTAAGAGGCTGTTCGCATTCTAACCGGTACGCTCTATCTACTGACATTAATGGCCAAAAATGATTAGATAAATGGATTTCGGCAGAACAGTTTCCTTGTATTTGTTGACAGCGTGTTGATAATGGCAGACCTTTGGTTTCCATAATACTTCGTCCAAGAGAAATTAACAGGAGCCGAATTTGCTCCCGTGCGCCTCTAGTCTTAAACAATAACAAAGGCTGACCACTCCCTCCTCACTCACGCTACTGGCCTACATTGTCCAGATGTCATTAAGTGATAGAAGGGTCACATTTACTCTATTTTAATATTGATTCTGATAATTAAGTTAATTCAAATGAGATGTTTTTAGGATGGTAAAGTCCAAATACTATTGTATTTAAGAATAATTCCCACCATAATAGGTGGTGAATTTATTATAGTATGTGGCAATGATATCCCGTTTTCTATAGACGGAAAGTTCCACTACAAGTTACATTTTCTATGGGTAACTTGTGTATACAATACAGCAGCAATATTATCTGCCTGCATTGATATTATTAAACAGTGTCGGATTTTCCGACAGTTACTCCCTGCAGCTGTAATAGGGTATTCCCCTGCCCGACTGTTCATTTCTGAAGCTTAAGGAGTGTCAACGATTGTTCTCTTCTGAAGGTTAAGGAGTGCCTCCACCCCCCCCCCCCCAGGCCCGATTGTTCCTTTCTGTAGCTTAAGGAGTGTCCCACCGAAAAGTTTTTTTTTCTTCCTGCAGCTGTAGGAGCGTCACCCTTCCCATCAGTCCGTCCCTGTGGCAAGAGGAATGTTCCTTCTACCATTACTGGAGACGGCACAGAGTTTTCTTGTTCATTATTTCCTGTTCGGGAGTATCCCCAGTTCCTCCTGGCCCGTGTGAGAAGTGTGTCCCTCCTCGTTTCAACATTCCTGTAGAGGGAAGTATCTTCTCTCTTTAATCCTTCACTGTGTAAGGAAGAGTTCCCTCCTTCCCCCCTCCGCCCTTCATCTTCATATCACCCCTAACGTAGTTTGATAATTAACGTGAAGGTTATGATTTGTACTTTTAACCCTAATTTTCATTCTCAGCTATATTTAAATGTTTATCTCTAACTTTTCTCTGTTTCTATCTCTCATTATCTTTCACACAATCTAATATTAATTTCAACTGGTTTCTCTGAAGCCAGTCACTACGCTCTCTCCCGGGAAACGTTATCAGAGGTGTCAGTAGTGCACAATCACCTTCACCCCCGAGGCTGTTTAAAGTGACGTCTCCGTCCAGAGTGTGACTGACGTTGATCGACATTGAGGTAATGAAAGTTTCGGCTATTTTTATTACAAAGAACGAGAAGGTAACCCGAAAGTGTCTCTTTGCATCCTTTCTCTACTCTTAGGCACTTTCCATCTAAGAGACCCAGAGGTTTCCTTTAAGACCTTTTGAAGGAAACCTTATATGGTTATGAAGGAAACTTTATATGGCCCTTATATGGTTTTGCCATTATATGGCAAAACCATACAAAAACGCGGCAAAATATTCAGAGTATTTTTTAGGGAAGAGAAGGGAAGGGAACTAATAGGAGAAAGCGCCAAGTCATTACGACTATGTGTCACTTGGAAGGCATCAGGAAAGGGATTTGGGATGAAATGTGGGGAAGGAATGGTGCCAATCCTCTTGGATGGTCGGGGATTGAATGACGACCTGCATGAAGCAAGACCGTTGCTCTACCGTCCCGCCCATGTACTTTGATATTTCAAAGATAACTTGAATATAATCTGACATTTACAGTCTATTATTTCATTAACGTACGTAGTTCAGACATTTTTACAAGTATTTCCGAGTTTGTCATATAATCATTGTTGATGTGATATATATTGGAAAACGATTAATATTTGTCAGAAAAGGGAACAATTGTGGGTAAAGTTCCTTCCATTGGAGAATCTTCAAATCTTACTATAACGTTGATTACATTGAACTCTGCTGCTCCGACACCCAGCAGGTCCAACCACTTTGGCTGGGCGATAGAGCGACGGCCTCGCTTCATGCAGGTCGGCGTTCAATCCCCGACCGTCCAAGTGGTTGGGCACTATTCCGTCCCTTCCCAGATCCTTATCCTGACCCCTTCCAAGTGCTATATATTCGTAATGGCTTGCCGCTTTCTCCCGACCGTTCCCTTTCCTTCCAACAACGTGTTTTCTGCAGGAACATTGTCAGCAGCAACATTGTCAGCAGACATTGTCAGCAGAAACATTGTCAGCAGACATTGTCAGCAGACATTGTCAGCAGAAACATTGTCAGCAGACATTGTCAGCAGACATTGTCAGCAGAAACATTGTCAGCAGACATTGTCAGCAGCAACATTGTCAGCAGACATTGTCAGCAGATATTGTAGGCAGACATTGTTACTGACTCAGCTGAGGGTGGAAATGTGAGTAGGATAAAAGTCAGTGATGGTCTCTTCCAGCGTCACCATCGTCTTAGTACCGTCCTCAGCACTCTTGTATGCCCCATTACTTTGTCCCCAGATTTGGGCATCCCCACCACTCTTCCTATTCCCCATCAACCTGTCCTTCTAATAGCACGTCGTATTTTGACGTATACTCAACCCAACTCCCAAAAATTATCGAACTGGATAAGGGTA